GCGAACTTATCGGTTAGCAGCACATTTCGCCTGGCAGTTCTGTCGGCGTATCCATGAATTATTACTGCTACCAAGTGCAATAGCAAACAGTAATTCACTTATGAGAAGCATGTAGGTGGCAGAAGGGCTGATGTTATGGCACGGCACAGGGACGTCGAACTGTTGCTGCCCTAGCAGACGGCGCTGATAGCGTCGAAGACTTGTCATTTTCAGAGAGTTAAACGACCGTATATATTGTCTGAAGAGATGGGAGTGGCTGGGAGGGATCGCGGGGATTTCGTTATTAACACCCTTCTTCCTTCAGTAGGTAGTCTATTATTCGATTCTATGAATAATTGTGCCATGACGGACAAAATTTTGTTAGGAATCGGTATCGGTGTTTTTTGATGAAAAGCAAAATTGTTATTGAATATAATTCATGTAAATGTTTGCTTTGTATTTTTAATTTTAACGTAGTGAGTGTTATTATTACTTTATGAAGCTCTGCGCTTTGAAACAGTAGAAAGATAGAAGGGTGGCAGGTGGTTCAATTCTGTGCATCAAACACCCTCTCAACTCATAAAAAATTACTGCGCTCTGTCTGGAACATGTTTAAGTTGCATGCATGTTCGCATGTTTGTGAGCTTCCCCAGTGTCACACTCTTGTTAAAATTTCTCTTGTGACTGCCCGTCACTTTCAACTCGAGCAGTATGTTGGTTCATTTTAAGAGTAAAAGATTTTGTGCTTAAACTTCGACCGTGAAGGAAGTGCCTTATTGCATTAACAAAGGCTTTTCATTCATTTCATTTGTTTTAGCCATTAGCCATTGATGTTCATATTACATCAAACATTTTGGTTCGTTCCAAATGTGCTATCAATCATAGTTATTTACTGCTTCTTGTCACTAAATCACAAATTTTAATTTAGATGTTTATGTAGGTCAATTAGACGATAGGGTAGTTTTGCATTTATAACAAAAAGATTTTTTAAGGTCTTTTTTCCCCCTGTATCCCTCGTGATTCTCGATCCTTTCAATTCCGAGCGTACAATATTTATATTTCATTAATTTGTTCCGCTCGGCAACCGGCGTTACTCATGCAACATTTAAGTTTCGTTATTGCCCCGCCAAGTTATTCATAAGTTATTATTATGAAGGACCGAGGAACCGCAATTTTTTTTACAGACGCCGGCGATGAAGAACTGCGCTACTTTCAAAATAAATCGTCTCTTTGTTATCACTGGTGTGTTGTTGAGTTTTTGTTTTTTTCTGTGAACATTAAAAAAGCCAGCCCATATGGAAACTCACAAATATTGTTGTTCATTATGGAGATAGAAGAGGAAGCAAAAACACTCAATATTTGTGGTTTATTTTTGAGTAAAGTTCAGCTTTTAAACGTGGCTGATTCCCTTGAGGGACACGAAGGAATTAACGGAAAAGGTTAGGTTAGGTTTTGAATTGTTGTGTCCCTTTGGCGGGAGCGTGTGTTGCTTTAAAAAATGTCATGACATTATGGTGACATTAAAAAGACGCGAAAGGCACTCGTGAAAATTAAACATGTATGAACACAGTCACGCCAGTGATGTCCTCGAATTTATACATATCCCTGATATTATCACTGTACAGTTGATATAAAACTAAACATGATCTATTAATGGCGTAGAGTGTTATCGTCATTTAGGTAGGCAGGGATGACAAAACATCTTGGAATGCACAGATTACGGGGCATACAGTCAGTCACTCGCGTAGCTAGCGGGTTTTTCGTGGTGGGCAACTAGTCACCGTGACGATTTTAATGATACTTGGCAAACGGAAGTTTCTGGAAATTATAAAATATTTTTTTGCCATATCCCTACCGAAAGTACGGTATCTTTCCCTGATTTCATAGCAGCATCCCTTCCTGAATAAGACATATTACTTAGTACTTATTACAAAAGGATTTTATCACCATCCCCTTCTACTTGTGTGTCAATTTTCCCACGGAGAATGTTAAAATGTTCCAAATAAACAGTAAATGTGACTTTTAAACTGGGTGCCTGTGTTGCACTTTATGCTCCCTTTTATCGTACTTTTTGGGACAGACGTCATCATCATAAGGTCGTCAATCCTAAGACTGGTTGGACACGCACCTCCACTCTTTCCTATCCTGAACTAATCTTCGCATTTCCCTAGAGCTAAAACAACCCACATCCTTAACTATTTGCGAACAGTAATCTAATCTCTATCTCTCCTAACTTCCGTCTCTGTATCTAATGTCTGACAAGATCTTCATGCCTGAGAAGGTGTTCTACCAACCTATCTCGCCTATTTCTTATTGACTTTCATGGAACGGACGTATGGCGAAAAATCGTATACGATCCTCTGGAATAAAGTACGGCATCCCTTCCCGGGAGTTTGCATTCGCGATGGAATACCGTACGTTTTTCTGTCGGTGCGCAATGTAGATACTACGACGAGGAATATGGTATTGAACCTTTTTCCCCAAATAATAGAAACAATATCTTTCTTCAGTACGGACAATTTTTTGTTTGAGCAGTGCATTTTCTACCTAAACCCTTCCTCCTTTGACCTATGTAGATAGTTAACATATAGATGTCCGTTTTTCTTCGATATCAACTGTATAATAGCTATAAAAACGGCACGTATTTTAAGTTTGAAGAATTATTTTTAATGTGACGCTTATGAGAAAATGGATTATTCGATGTAAAAAATTTTGCTATTGCTAGAAATCGCTTGATTCAACGAATCATGGAGTAGTATATGAAAAATTCGGTCCGTTGGTTGGTTTGACGCGTAAGCGCGAGGTAGCAGGCAGTTTTGGTGAGATTGGCTTCATTTCCTGGTCATCCATCAGCGGTTAATAGCGGGCCATTTCCTGCAGTATGCGGCAGGTGGTTCCTCGGTGCAAGATCGGAAACCACAAGGTCTGTCATGACTGGTTGGTAAAGGTAATCCACTTAGCGGTAAAGAATTAGAGCGAGTGGAACAATGCTTGTAATTGAACCAGATTAACTTCTACCTTATGACTTACGACGTTAGCGATGGCGATGGCGATGGCGATGAAATAGCCGAAGGCATTCCAATAAATAGATAAAACGTGGCTATAGCGCAATTGGATACCCTTCAGATCTTGTAATTGTCATCGACTGCGGTTAAATAACTCCCTGTACGTAAAGCTGTAATTAGCTAACGAACTGAATTGGTTCAAATATAATGGTTTACTTTGGTACATTTGAGTAATATAAAAGAGAATTAATGCTGCTATCGGCCCGTGGTTTTTAATAGACTTAAAGAGCCTTTACAAGGGTGTCTCTAGATTTATAATTTTTTAGCCATGTTGAAACACAGGAATAGGAAAAATAGGTGAGCAGATGATACAAACCAAATGTTTGAAGAATCGAACACGAAAGAGGATTTTGATTTAATAAATTATTACCCCATCCCGACATATTAGGGTTCTCTGGTTTGCGTAATTTATTAATTCGCTATTATTAGGTGAATTTTTAACATTTGTAGATGGGCGCCGCAACAAATAATGCAATGATACGTTTGGTTAACAAATTCTATCAAAAGATTCATGGTCTCGTAAATAATGATTATAATTAAAAACAGTCAAAGTGGAATAGATAACGGATTCGACAGAGTGGCAAATTTGATTGTTAGGAAATAGATCCAAACGAAAATGCGTATAATCCGCACGTATACATACACACGCCTATCTCTTTTATAGATTAATTGTTATCCGTACCGCGTCGAGGTTTGTCGGTCGATCGTTTACTAAATTTCGAGATAAATTGTGCCCCATAAACAATTCAAACGCACCACGGCCAGTCAAAGAATACAATGTACTTTCAAAATGTACAAAATTTCACTGGCATTCTACAAAATTAATCGTTGGAAAATTAAATTACTAATGCCTGAGATAGAATGCAATTTTTACATTTTTCCAAAGCATCATCAGTTTAATTTTAACAAATAGGTTCGATTTTTCCTACGGCTATTCTGATCAGCTTTCGTATCTTCTTCTTTTTCTTCTTGTTCTTGTTCCTCGATCGAACGCGATCTTAACAAGTCATAGCCGTTTCGATTGTAATTTGAGGATCACGGCACCTCGGGGACGACGTGGTCGTATAGCGATCGCGACGGCACCACGTCGTCGCAAATCCCGATTCCCGAAATAGTTCCACGCAGTAACGACAACATAAATCCACCCTTGAGAATCGCCGACGAAAGTACGTACGACCATTGCGTTACAGGGACAGTCACAGATGACTGTGCAAAAGAAGATAAAAGGAATAAGCCTTTTCTACCCTTACATCACCCGCTATGGCTCTCGATTTCGATTTCTACAATGCAAATGTCAGAAAGATGGGGTGAAACCGAAACGATTTATAAAATTCACAGTGATCGTTTTCTATAAGAACGCCGGAGCTGAAGAACATGTATAATTTTATTTCCCAAATCGGTTGCTGTAGTTATTAACTAGGGCACGATGTAGTGTTATAATGGAAACATTAACTCACTTAATGGAGCTGTAGTATCCGATATCGGACTATTTAAATTAGATCGTTTATAACTAAGAGGTCTTTTATTTTTTAATGCTCACGGTAGCATTGTGTTCAAAACGACTTATTTTGATTCATTTGTGAGTGGATTGCTGTTTTAAAAATAATTATAGCGCAATTGGAACCTGTTAGAGGAAATGCTAATTGACACACGCATATTTATGTAATAGCTTGTTTGTATATTAGTATGGGTAAAATAGAAACGAAATAAAATAACGATTTACATCACCTTTTTTAGAAAACATAAAACCTGCATATTGAATAACTGTAATTACTTGTATCGTATATGAGTTTTTGTATGCTTTTTATTCGTGCATACATATAAACAATCTGATATTATTCTATTATAAATTTCAATTAAGCACGTTATTTGAAGAAATCCAAGTAAGGGGGAATATTTTTTTGTTTGGCATATTAATTAATATTTAGTTATATCTATAGTTTTATTAATCTTTTGTTTTTGATATAATTGGCAAACATTTCACAAAGAAAAATCAAGAAAAGTCTACAAATTATATTGTTACTTCTACTTTATGTTAGTGCAATTTTGGTAGCGAAATTATTTTCTGAAAAACCATCTAAATAATTCAAAGAAAAATATTTTTTTGTGTGTATATGAAAACATTTATTTAACGGCAGTGCGAATGCTGGTGGTTTTCCAATAACATTCAAAAAGTAACTTTGCGGTTTCGTATTTGTCTTTTCCTTTTTCGTTTTTACATTTGTCCACGATTTTCTGTAAATTCTCTTTTTGTTCTTTCGGGAGGTCCATGCCGACGACGTCGAACTTGAGTTTGCTTTCTTCGTCAACGACGCCAAATTTGGTCAGGACACAGTAATAATACTGATTCAACTTGGGATCGTCTGTTTTCTTGCCCTCGTGCGACAATTTAATTTGCTGTTTGTCGACTTTGGTTTTCTCCTCGCAGGTCGAATAGATTGTTCTTAGTTGGTTTCGTTGTTCATCAGTCAACACTGCCTGCAAAAATTAAATTCACAATCATACAATACTTTGCGCCTAATAATAAAGTAGCTTTCGCCGTCAATTATGCTATATAAAATTAATGTTATTTTCAATCGCGATTAACATACGTATATGCTGTATGTTGCCCTACCTTGACACTAGCAAATAGTCCAAAAACACACAAAATTAAAATGAACTTCATCGCTTAATTGTTATCCCTTTCACTGATCTGTAAGCACCGCCTGACGTGTTATATGTGCAATTACTTATTGAGATTAAATTGCAAAAGGCGTCGTTTTATATTAACCTTCGTTTGTGTGAATGAAAAGGAAAACGCTATAAAGCAAACCGATAAAATATAATTCGCTTTCGATTGTTTACGGCCGCGTAAAAATACAGTGTGTCCAAGAATAAATAAGAAAAAAGATTCACTTTAATTTACTACCTTACATTGGGGTGAGTCACATTTTTTATTTGATTGATAACACAGTCTTCTTTACTCTATTTTATCTAAAACAGGGTGGTCAATAATAATATTGATCGTCGTCATCATCATCACAGAAGCGTCTCAGTCTGAATACTAGTTGACACACGTCCACTACTTTAACATCAAGGTACAAAGTATTTTCTGTTTTAAGTGGTATCTGTTAAATGTTTGAATAGTTTTTAAATAACCTATTTCCCATTTTGGATTTGAGTTCCGAAAACTGGAGTCCAGAACAATTTATTTCACTTTATTATTTATATTATCTATTTCAAATAGATCGTAATAGTATTTTTCACATTCTGGCCTTTTGAATGGCGTTAAATATTACAATGTACTTATTGTATAAATTGGACATGCTGTATGTTGGGTAGATATTAGTGAGTAGGTTTCTTAAGTTGCGAAATCACTTGATGGTCGGTGGTAGTTGGTAGTTTACATATGTACATATACCTATACAGACGAGGTCGTTGAGTTGTGTTAGTGGCTACGTTCTTTTTATTATATTCCTAAGGTAATAAATCCTGGGCAATTGTAAAATGATCGTATTCATGCAAATTTATTTCTAACAAATGTCACGTAGACGTTGCAATAAATGTATTACCTAAGTACGCGGTTATAGGAGCGCTGGTTGTAATATTAAAAAATAATTTATTAATAAGAAACAAACAGTACCTCCGCCGAAATTGTTTAATTTAATAGTTTAATAAGTGTTTGCTTATTAATGCTTTCTGCTATCTTGCCAACAATAATTTGCTAACGTCTCTGGTAAACCAGGGGTATTTTTTATCAGAACAATAAGGATGCATTTGGAAGGAACCGAAACTGAGACGGAGAAGGTGAAAATTTATATTTATTGAACATTATATTTGCGTGAGAGCGGTAAGGTAATCCCGATAAATGCCATGGCCTACTTAGTAACAGATTAGGAGTTACGTTGAAAGGAACAAGGAATAATAACTCCTTATACATATTCCTATTCCTCGAACACTTTCATGCATATCCTTGTGCGCCTTGTTTAATATATTATTTGCGAGATGACTTTTATATCGGGCTGGTGGGCTTAAAATTAATGTATTATATGTATACGCTCTTGAAAATGGAAGACGCTCTACGTGGATGTCTAGACAAAGGAAGTCGTTGTTTATATTGATTTCGTTTAAAGCATCGAAATTTGATTCTTTTGGTTTGTGTGATTTTTTAAACCATAGTATACATATAACGTCTTGTATCAACGAATAACGTACCTACTAGTTTAATGCGTACCTACATAATATGTATGTATGCACATTTTTGGATTTCGCATATTATTTATCAATATTCGAAGTAAATAAATAACGAATATAGTGAAATAGGAAATTTTACCCTTATCCTCGGGGCTGTGGCTCGTCGAGAGTCGACCGCCTCGAATCACGCGGATGTAAAGTTTGCAGAGCTAATAAAAGATGCATCAAAGTTAGCCAGTTTAAAATTTTATTGCTGTCGGACCAAAGGGAACGAAGTCTAACGCGGAGTGACGGTAGTCGGTAGTCAGGATACTTAGTAGAGTACTTACTACCTTAATACGAAAGTACGTATATGCAGTTTGCAGTCGTGTGTTAGTTGCGAAATGCTGCCTTCAATATTTCAGCGTTTTCGTCTACATTCTTGCATTTTGTCAGCTACAAAGTTTTATTGCACTGCTTTATGTTCCTTGTAAAAAGGATAAGCCCGCGGGTGCAATCTCTTTTCGCAATCATCAACTTCCATTCTAACCTATTCTTCGCGCTCGGAAGTCAGTTCTTCACCAATTATACATCTTTTTCAGTAATATTCTTTTCTTTTCAACATTATCTTTTTTATGTGTGTACATATATTGTATAAGTAGTAGTATCTAGTGACTAAAATTAGGGAGTACCGTTCCAGACGATTTTTGCCTCTCTGTTTTAAAAGCTTAGGGTTATATATTGTACATGTATAAAGAAAACATTAAAAGAACTCATTACATTAAAAGTGGAAATAGGGGCCGCTGCAATTCCACAGTGTCTATATGCGAGCTGTAACCGTGCTTAGTTCTTATTATTTTAAAAAAAGATAATACGTTAATTTACCGCTTAATGTATGCATGCGACGAACTTGTCTTTTGGTTTTTTTTTTTGAAAAGGAAAGTTTAATTACTGACAATTACGGGATTATGGAATGTGCATTTTCAGGAATCAGGATGCAACAGTTTCCAGGTAGTTGCGGCTGCCAAACTAAGTCGAACTTTAAGTGAAAAGTGGCAACTTTACCGCATGCTCATGACGATCCATTTAATTACAAAACTTCTAAATAGCGAGGTAACTGTTCAAAATCTTCGAATCGATTTGTAAAACCGGTGCACTTGTATCGGATGAAGTAGGTATAACATATAGGTAAAAAGAAAAACAGGCTGAACTTTACAAAAAAACACTTGCGCTCTTAAGTTTATTCTTTACATTTTACATGCATGCATATAATTCATTATAGTAACTTGGTCGAGAATGATGTTCAAATTAAATTTCCACCCTTGACATACCTAAACGTTGTCGCATTCTCTTACAGACTTGGGTTATGAAGTCATCGAATTAGCATGATGTTTAGATTCTTTCGATAATTATCATTATAACCGTAAAACTATTGAGAGCATACGTTTCGTTGTCGACACAGTTAATACAAATTAAATCTATGCTATGCGTTTTATGTGTACTCGGTAACTAGAATAAACGTAAGTCATAATCAATTCTGCAATATGCTGAATAATATGTACCATAAGATATTTTGCGTTTTGGTTTGTTTACCCGCTGTAACAGGAGGCAGTGCAGAAATTGGAACACTTACACGCAATCTATCAATATTTGTAGAAATATCTACCCCTGACAAATAGGTAGTGTTTGATAGATTTTCACATCCTACAAAGATGACGATTGTTTGTAAATCACGTCATTTTCTCTTTATCACCTTAATGAGCAACATAGACGTCGCGTTGTGTCGCCGCGGTGTGCAGGCTTTCCATGTTATTTAGATTAGCATACGTTGTCTTTAATTACAGGATGGAACCACTATAAATCATAATGACATTCAAATTAGATTGTCTGAGAGAAGCGAATCGCTGATTAAAGCAAGCTGTGCACTCACTCTATGCTTCCATTCTGCAACCATCGGCAGATTTGTTGTGTTTGTATGTCTGCATACTTACTTATATATCTCGTACATAACACGTTGTACGTAGGTACCATTAGGTATTTAGGTAATATTCGAGTCTTGTTTCTGATGTTTTATTAATAAACTGAGGTTCCCCAAAAGTTGCTTGATTTGCTGAATTTCTTGTTGACAACAGTCATGATTAATATTCGTAACGGTATTATGCACATTATCGTATGTACCTATTAATCATACGTAACGGGAAGTAACCCGATGGTGATAAACCCCATCAAAAAAATAATTATGAACGGTGACAGAGCTGTAGAACGTACTTTGCTTCTACATAGAACTACATTAAACTACTGATAAAATATAGTGCTGGATGTTCGCAGCAAAATAATTTTCATCTTTTATCGTACGAAGAGGATAGAATAACTGATGAGTGAACGAACGCCAAATCTAAAGAAGAAAATCACTGTAACATAAATGCGTCTTTCGAAATTAGCCGTCTAAGATTATTGCAGAAATGAGTAGTTTCAATGGAATGTTTTTCGATTCCACGAATAGTTCTTCCTCCGGGGTCGTCAAAGTTGACCAATATTGATATATGTAGATAAAAAAATAACATTATTGTGATTTTACGAATAAATCAATTAAGTACTTGGGACTTTGGGTTTAAACTTTGGAGTTGTGACTTAACGTTGATATAGTAAAAAAGTTAGAATAAAAAAATAACAGAAAATTTCACTAAAATGTTTTTATCCGAAAACCTTTTAAAGAGAAATGTGCACTAACAAAAAGTGTAGTGAAACTTTCTAATGCTCTTTTGTTAGGACTTTATTAAAAGCAGTTTCACAATAACTGCATCGTTCAAAGTTTTACTATAAGTTTAAATGACCTACGATGGATTTACTGGAAACTATTGTACATAAGTGAATACATATAACAAATACAATAAAGTCGTGATGAAGTTATTCAGTTCTGCGGCGAACAAATAAGCGAGTGTTTTCCTGTATGTACTTGTATGTCCTTTAACGCGACTAGGCGTCAGCGTCGTCGATGTCGGTGTAGCGTCGCACCCCACTCTGCCATCCGATGGACGGACGGACGGACGGCAGTAAGCTAGCGGCGTCGCGTCGGTCGCTGGCATCTGCCGGCGCATTGTCGCCCGAATCAACAGCAACAATTTGGAAAGCTATTCAAATTGAAATCGCATAAAGTACACAGAGAGAGTGTCGAGCATCAGCGTTGGCGACGACGATCGTTCCCTATTTGTTCTGCAAACAAACAAGAGAGACGGGACGAACGAGCGAGAGCCTCGGCTCGAGATAATTGCATTTGTAACGATCGCGCAATTAACGAATGAAACGATTCAGCACAATATCACAAAGCGAAACTCTTCTCTTCTCTTAACTGCTATTCCATTCTCTTCTATCTAGGCGAATAGAATGTGACCATTTCAGGCCAATTCCATCAAATATCATCATATTTATCATTCATCCGTTCCCCCCAACAATTATTTGTCGGATGTATGTGTAAATCTAAAAAAAGAAACACTTTATTTCTGTATATTTGTATTGTTAATTCACGGACCAATAAAATTCGGAAAGAGGTAGTAATTTCCAGAATAATTTGCTACTCTGAGCCCCCTTCTGATCTCA